TCACAAAAGGACCGTTACGATATTGTTTTATGTTAGCTATTATCCCTCTCAGGAAACAGGACATTACAAATCAGGTACTGTGATCTGCTTTAAAAAGTTGCCTCTTGCTTATATGGATTTATCTGATTGTTGTCTACTTTGTTGAAGTCATTTTTAAATATCCCCGCAGGTTTCTCTAATGTAGTAATATGGACCCCAAGGGTCAATGGGACTATCCTTGGTTCGTTGCATATATCAACATATTCTACATTATAACCATTATTGTTTGTTGCACAGTCAGCCAGATGTTTAGACTGGGTTTGACATTTTGTTCATCTATTTCAGCGGTTCTCAACCTATGGGTCGCGACCCCATTTGGGGGTCGATCGACCATTTCACGGGGGTCACCAAGCAAGGCTGTCCGCCATTTTTTTCCCCTTTTCCGGCGGGTGCCTTACCTCCCTTGGGCTGGGCCAGCTGGTGGTCGGCCTGCTCTGTCTCTGCCGCTTGCCAGCTACGCCTCGGCCGGCGCAGGGGGCGGAACCATGTATGTGCGGCGCTCCTGGGCAGGAAAAGTCCTCGACTTACGACCGGTTGGGTAGTCCTCGACTTACGACCGGTTTAGTCCTCGACTTACGACCGGTTTAGTCCTCGACTTACGATCGGTTGGGGGTCGCGGCATTAAAAAGGTTGAGAACCACTGATCTATTTAGTCCTTCCTGTTCCAGGTAAAACTGAGTTGCACCCAAGGTACTTGTTACTCTTGGTATTATCTTCGCTTTCTTTTGCCATAGTCATTCCACTTGCATTTGCAGGTTTTTGCATTTTCTTCAGCTCTTTCTCTTCTCTTCTGCTTTCTCCAGGTACTGCAACATCCACTATCCAGCACTTTAGCTTTTTCCCTTTTTTATTGCTGTGTTTATTCTGTGGTTCGTTCTTGCTTGCAAGCAAATGGTATTTCTTGCAGATATTCCAGTGCGCCATTGTTGCTACTTTCCAGCCATTGTTTGAAGTCAGTCTGGGCAATCCTCTTGTAGCAGGTAACTGGGTGGTCCACTGGTTCTTCAGATTATTGGAGAGGCAGCGTTTGCTTTCTGTTGCAGTCTTCTCGATTCTTTGTATGCAGCCAGAATTAGCCTCTTTTGTCTCTTTTGTCAATTTTCTTGTTCTTAGCCATTACCAGGTCTTCTTGTTATCTGCTTTGCCTGCTAATTTTTTTTATTATGGTTCATCGCACAGTCAACCAGACTATATTTGGCATTCTTATCTGCCTATTGTTGTTGGTATTCATTGTACTACTAGTTAAAGTGGTATTTATTAAATTATTTTCATATAATACATTTTTAGGGGGAGGGTTGACGAACAAAGTGAAGGGAATGATAAGCTGAAGAGTTTGGGGACCTGTAAAATGAATTTGTAATTTGCTAATATGGCAGAGGATGTGATCTACCAAGATGTAGTTGTATTTCTTCAATGAATAAATGAATAAGTGTCGTGTTTTTGATTCATTGGTTTAACTGGGTTCTCTTTATATAATTTTAGAGTGCATAGAGAAATGTGTAGAGAACAGATCATGTTTTAGGTCACTTATACAACAATATTGAAAATTCAAAAGGGTTCTCAAACTTTTGAGCACTCATGAAGTTTACAGTGGAGGTGAGAATTCAGCTAGAGCAGTGGTGGCGAACCTTTTAGAGACCAAGTGCCCAAACTGCAACCCAGAACCCACTTATTTATCGTCGGGTGCTGGATGGGCATGGCCCACTGGGGGGCATGGCCTACTGGGTGGGCGTGGCCATCTCTTCTCGGCCCCAGGCCTGGCGGTGCGCTTGCCTTCCGCGGCAGAGGGGCCGAGGCGGCGGCTGGGGGTGGCTCCAGGCAAGGTGGGCGGCGTTTTGGCGCTGACAGGGTGGGGCCGCCGGGCAGGTTGCCAGCCAGGAGTTGGCCTTTTGGGAGAGCAGAACCCCCATCCGCCCCCATAGCCCAGGTGGCCAGCTCCTTCTAGATCCGTGGGGCAGAGGCCTTTTGCAGGCCTCTGGAGCCTGGATTGGGCCGCTGGCGCATTGCAAAATCACCCCGCAGCCATGGATGCGAGCTCCAGAGGCTTTGAAAAGGCCTCAGCTGCCTCCACCATCCAGCCTGGATCTGCCCAGCTCTTGCAGCTGCTCCCTGATTCCCAGTGCAGAGAGAAATAGAGCAAGAGCCAGGCGCACGTGGAGAGGGGGCAGGGAGCAGCCTGGCCCTGCCTGGGGCAATGGCTCGTGTGCCCACAGGGACGGCTCCGGTACGCGTGACATATGTTCGCCACCACTGAGCTAGAGGCTTCCTGGCTCATAAGTTCAGTCATATAGTATCATATATTTAGATTCTCCCTTATTTATGATAGATGTAAGGTAGCAGCGTTGTGTAGAACCTTCTTAACCATGCTTCTTGCTACCGGGTGGGTTATTGCTTAAAAATGATTTATATTTTCAAGCAAGTTGCACATATTGTTACAGGTAGTCCTCAATTAACAAACAGCTTATTTAGTGACCATTCAAAGTTACAACAGCACTGAAAAAAAGTGACTTATGACTGTTTTTCACACTTACAACCGTTGCAGCATCCCCATGGTCACGTGATCGAAATTCAGATGCTTGCCAACTGGTTCATATTTATGTCTATATCTAAGACAAAGAAAAGTATTTACTTCAAAAATCCTGAATTTACTTCAAGAACGTTGCAATTTGGAGAAGAACAATGTGTGTGCTTGTGTGCATGCACCTGCACCTGGAAAGTTCCCATCCCTTTTCTTACTTTTGACACTGACATGACTATTAATCATTGCTAGATGATTGATCTCCATGAGGTTGTCGGATTCTCCTTTCAAACCTTCATTCTGTTTGGTGACAGCATTTGCATGTATATGTTGTGTGAAGGAACGTTTCCTTTCTCTGTCAGGAATCTGCCAATCAGTTTCACTGGAGGATGTCAGATTGTAACATTTTGAGTGGGATAACTCTTGATTCATACTTTGAATACTTATGAACATTTTTCCGCCCAATCATTTTCAACATATGAACAAAGCTAATAGCTTCTTTACAGCCACCCATCCCTGCATATTCCGACCGTTGGTCCCCATGCAACTATAAGGCTTCTGTATTACTTTAGATATTTAGTAATCCACACTTATTCTTTTATTTCCCTAACTCCTTACTATCTTTAAAATAAAAATGCAAAGTGGGCCTGGCCGTTTGTTGATGTCTGACTACTAAAAGAACAGTTGATAAAAACATGAGTACATCTAAGTATAATAAGACACCAAGAGTTGTTCAAGTGAGCTTTATTTAATCTCACACTCTTTATTATTTTTAACACATACAGTAGTTGGCTCTTTAATTGTTACTTTAAACAGATATTGGAAAATACGAAGATTTAAATTAATCATTATTAGATGCAATGCAGCTTGCGGTTTCCTATATTTATATTGCTTTATTACTTCAACTAACATCCTACTTTTCTACCCAATATGGTATTTGGGGCAGCTATTTTTTTTTTAAAAAAAGAACGAAACAATTAAAATCATGTAAAGAAATGTTAATTCACCTCATAAAACTTGAAGAAGAAATTTTTGATTTTTTAATGGTGGAAAGTGTGTCAACTAAGTGCAACTCCTGATGGAAGATAGTCCATTTGATACAAGTTCACACAGTTGTTTCTGTCTCATTCAAGTTCACATTAAGACAAGCAAGTTGTCTGAAACCAAGTTTTAAACTAATTAAAATTTCACAGTTAAGACCAAAAAGGCTGGCTAAGTTGTGTCCAGAAACCAGTTAGCAACCAATAATTTTATCTCAGCTGCTTTCCCAACAAATACTTGGATACTTTAGTCCTCAATTTAAGACCACAATTGAACCCCAACTTTCTGTTGCTAAGTGAGACATTTGTTAGGTGAGTTTCACCCCATTTTATGACCTTTCTTGTCATAGTTGTTAAGTGAATCACTGCAGTTGTTAGGTTAGTAACATGATTGTTAAATGAATCTGTCTTCCCCATTGACTTTGCTTGTCAGTAGTTCGCTAAAGGGGATCACATGATCCTGGGACACTGCAACCATCATAAATATGAGTCAGTTGCCAAGTGTCTGAATTTTGATCATGTGACCATGGGGTTGCTGCAGTGGTCAAAAGTGTGGAAAAATGATCACAAGTCACTTTTTTCATTGCTGTTGTAACTTCAAATGGTCACTAAATGAACTGTGTTATTGCCTGGTTTGGTACTTGCCATACGTAGGTCAAGAATTTCATGGTATCCACTTAAGTTTACTCAGAAACAAATTTCACTGAATTCAGGGGGCTTCCAGGTAGTCCTCAAGTTATGGCCGTAATGGAGCCTGCCCATCCTGGTTGTAACTCATGACTATCATGAAGCAGGTCAACCACGTGACTGACCTGATTTTACAGGGTTTTTTTGTGGTGGTGGTTAAGTAAACGCCACAGTTTCTGCCAGTGTCATTAAGTGACTCCTGTGGTCATTAAGTGACTCCATGATTTGCTGTGGGTTGGTTTTGCCAACAACTAGAATTAAATGCTGGGTTTTGACAGAAAGTGATAAAATGCAATCACGTAGCCATGGGACACTGCAGACTGCCATAAATGTTCAGTCACATGACCATGGGGAGTGGCCTGACCATCAGAACTTCAATACCGGGTCGTAAGTACCACCTAGGTGGGTCCATCGGAATTTCGAATAGTTGTAAAGCAATCGGTTGTAAGTCGAGGACTACCTGTATTTCTATATAAGCTTTAACTATTATAATACATCTTTTAGCTACGATGCATTAATATTCATGTATCATTATCCCCTGACACCCCACCCCACCCCAGTCTGAAATAAAACCATATAGCCCTGCACAAAAGAATCCATAGTTGCATAAAGTATTGATTACTGTTTGAGCTTTCCTAACAGCAAAGAACTAATAAACTGTGGAGAATATTTCATTTGATCCTCTGTTGGTTATTATTATTTTGAATTCTTTTCAGAAATAAAGGGAATCTCATTCAGGATCCAGACCAGTGTGAAAGGACCTTCGGGCACAGACATATTATTAAAGTTGTTGTTTCATTTACCACTCAGTTACCCATCAAGCTTGCCAAACATCTCTCTTCATTCTGAACAACTCACAAGGACACAGTGTCTGGCTGTGAGAGCAAGATTGCTTGAAGAAGCAGTAAGCCATTTGTCTCAGCCCATGGTACATGAGTTGATCCTCTGGATAAAGCAGAATTTTCAGTCTGTGGTTGAAGAAGCTGAAATCCCAGCCTGCAGTGGGCAAAGTACTCCGTCAGTGAAAACAGCCGAGGAAGATGATGTCTGGACTGCCCTTTTGCATCTAGACCATATGAGAACCAAAGGAAAATATATCAAAACGGTCGAAAAATGGTGTAGAGATCTTGATCTGGCGGGAAGATTGATGTTTATGGGCAAGATGATTCTCATACTTCTTCAAGGAGACAAGCGGGACATTAAGGTGTAGGCTTTGCTCTTTGTGGCTGGTATACCATTGAATGAGAATGAATATTTGAGAATTTTGCTTGTAGCATTAACCATCGGAGATATCCCAGTTGGTTGCTGATTTTCACACAAAACCCAACCTTCCTCTGGTTGTTTTCTCCCTCTGTCCTCCGGGTTTCCCCTCCATAAAAGTTACATCCACAGCAATGTTTAATATTGGATTTGCAAGGCTAGCCACAATTTGCACTGAGAAAGGGTCAGCCATCACAACTTCACCACTGTCCCTTCCACGCAGGTGAAGAACTCCAAAATGAGCAATGACAGCAGATTGGGTAGAATTTCTTCCACTTGCTTACATTAGCCTCACACCAGGGTGAGCAGATACACGATAGGAGAAATTTGGGGTGACCTCTGTGGTTGTCCACTCTTTGGGGAGTCTAGGTTAGTGTTTCTCAATGTTGGCAACTCGAAGATGCATGGACTTTGATTCCCAGAATTCCCCAGCTAGCATGCTGGCTGGGGATTTCTCAAGAGTTGAAGTCCAGACACCTTCAAGCTGCTAAGGTCAAGAAATAGATTTAGATGGTCTAGGTATGTGGAAGACCACCCATCTTCAAGCTGCCAAGGTTGAGAAACATTGGGTTGCGACAATGGCTTTTTGAGATACAGTGGTAAATGGGCTTTTTCCCCCAGTTAATACGGTAGCCTCACCACCCAAGTGCCCTTCACACTTTCTAGCAGTAAACGAAATACTAATGCATTAATTAATCATGAAAAAGTTGCTGCCCTTTTATGACACCCCATTTGTGCTACCATCGGCAGCTGCTTCACTCGAACTAATGGATGCTATTCCTGTAACCAAGAATGGATGATTATACATAGGCCAACACGTATCTTCCATTGTGATGTATGGAATTATGGATGAATCATGACAAATTTAGTATTCTGTCATGCCTTCATGGCCAATGAAATGTAACTGGTAGAAAGTTGTGTTCAGAAATGGATTATATTATTTAGATCTGGATAATAATTACAGTCCTGTGAGTCGGCTGGAATTTTATATGGAAATATATATGCAAACTGACAGATGGGAAAATTGAACAACTCCTAAATGTGAATTATTCCTAAATGTCAAAGTGGAACTTTCTGTTTTTTAGTTTAATGCCATTTTGTGAGCAATTTGCATTCGCAAAAGCCTTCAGTTACCACAGTTTTGGTTTCACTATTTTGTTCTCCAGTCAACTCTGTAGTATACTCAGAACTCATGGCAAATCTTAATGAGAATGGATGGCATTGTTCTTTTTTAGCCTTTTTTTTAGCAGGGCATAAATTTGCACCGCTCAAGTCTTATTAATCTGATCACTACGTAATACATGAATAGAACAGAATATCACAGTTGGAAGGGACCTTGGAGGTCTTCTAGTCCAACCCCCTGCTTAAGCAGGAGACCTTATATAATTTCAGACAGGTGGCTGTCCAGTCTCTTCTTAAAAGCCTCCAGTGATGGAGCACCCACAGTTTCTGAAGGCAAGCTGTTCCACTGGTTGATTGTTCTCACTGTCAAGAAATGACATAAGGTTGCAATCCTGTTTTACTTAAAATGAAGTAAGGCTATTAAATCTCCTGGACCTGCCTCCTAAATAAGCATAAAGAGGTTGGTACTGCTTATGTAGTCTTTATCTGTAATTTTAGCAGATTTTCAGAGAATTCCGGACTACTCTATCGTAGATTGGAAAGTCAAATAAAAAAAACACCAGCCGGTGATAAACTTGTTCCAAATTACTGTATTTCAAAAGAAAATTGCATGGAAGTATCTATAAAATCTATCACCAAGAGCTGAACTTGACTTGAAAGAGAGTAGATTATACTTCTCATCTTTGGTTGCCACAATTTAATGCGTGGCTGTAATGGTAAGTCACCAGGAGCTGAGCTTGACTTCAAAGACACCCTTCCTTCCTTCCTTCCTTCCTTCCTTCCTTCCTTCCTTCCTTCCTTCCTTCCTTCCTTCCTTCCTCCCTCCCTCCCTCCCTCCCTCCCTCCCTCCCTCCCTCCCTATATATGTATCTTATTTCTATCCTTCCACAATCACAAAGATTCTCAGCAAATTACACAGAATAAATAATACATTTAAAACATAGGGTACAAAACAAACAACACTCAAACATTTTATTTTAGTGACGTGTAGTCTCAGCTTACTGGGGTAATACAAGTAGTCCTCGATTTACGACCGTATTGGAGCTTGCCCATGATTTTACGACCTGATTTTATGATTCTATGTCCATTTTTGTGGCAGTTGTTCAGTCAAATCACCATAGTCGTTAAGTGAATTCATACTCATTAAACAAATGCCCTGGTTGTTAAGCAAACCCATTATTCGCTATGGGGTGTTTTTGCCAAAAAACCCAAAGTAAACCCTGGTTTTCAGTAAAAAAATATGTGACTGCAGGATGTTGCAAATGGCCATTAAATGGAGGCTGGTTGCTGAGCAGACAAAATGCAGTGATGGGACCACGGGGGAGGGCCCAGTTGTTGAAGGTTCGGTACCGGGTGGTAAATGCCTTTTAAGGAGGGTCCAGTGGAACTTCAAATGATCATTAAGCGACTGATCGTAAGTTGACGACTACATATAAACAGGCTTGATTTTTAATTGTTATGGATTTATAGTGGTAGAACTTTATTTTATTTGTAGTTTTGTTGTTGTTATTGTGACCTACTTCTGTTTTGAGGCTGCGAAACCAATACCAAACAAACGGTCCTCCGTCATAAAAACATTGGCAAGATTTGAACGTGTGCATGTGGGAGTTCTAAATTTGGAATGACTTTGTTGTTTGATAATAAACTAAAGTCATTCTGGGACTCTTCACCATTTCAGAATGGAATGTAATAGCTCTGAGCTGAAGGACTTGCCATAAGAGCTTGCCTTTTTGTTATTCTTGTTTGTGAAAAAGATGGAAATCACATGGCCAAACCGTGCAACATGGTTTGTACCAAGTATTAAATAGAAGGTCCTTGTGTTGTTAGAGAGAATGAGTTTGGAAGAGCTTTCATGTCATGGCAAAAAACAACAACCCCTCTTCATCTTTTCTCCAGGCCCTAGAGCTAATCTTTAACAAAACACAAGAAAAAAACCCGGTGTGTTAATACTCAAGTAGGTTTAATTCATGTAAGAAGAAAACAAACACTTGAAGCAGAAAAAAACCTAAGCTGACATTACTACTACACCCACTCAGGTGTAGTAGGAGAAAATGTGTATTGGGAAAAAAAAAATCTGTGTGTATGTGTTTACACAAGTTGCCTATCCTTGCTCAGGGAGATGATATAAGAAATACATCTGTGGCCGAGTGAAGAAACATTTTAAATATTCATTGCAGCAGACTGTAGGGAGTGTAACTCAGAAATTAGTTATATAAATCTGTTTATTTTTCATACGAGTTAACATATGAAGTAGGATAAATTGGAAAGGAACTGCATCAGATGTAATCCTACTTTTTATAAGAGTGCTAAAAATGCTCAGGAAAGCTGCTTTGGAAATCTTCGTGCAGTTGTTCATAAACTTATACAATTCAGTGTATGCCTTTCACATGTCACATGAAAATGTAAGTGCAACATCGTCATACTTTACACTGGCAAGGTTATTTACTAGCAACAATAATACTGCCACTAATAAAATGGCAAATAATTGACTTACGGGTTTCAGCCAAGATGTATTTAGAAATCTATTCAAGAAATACGTTTTTTTTCTGTCAGTAATATTTGTCCTTGGGCTATTATGGATAATGTATATTAATGTTGTTGAACTATTAGTCTTTTTTTTCTGATTTAGGAATACCTTATGCTCCAAAAAACTAGCAAAGTGGATGTGGATTCGAGCGGAAAGAAGTGTAAAGAGAAAATGATGTGCGTACTCTTTGAAACAAAAGTACAGGCTGAACACAGAAGGTATGATTTAGTTGCGTTCAGCTAGAAAACCAGCTTTGAATTGATAATTATATTCTGACAAAGAAGTTGGCATATTCATGAAGTCTTTCTGGTACAATGTAGGTTTCAGGCATTTGAAGTCAAAGAATACTCAACGTTGGATGAGCTGCAACATGAATTTGAGGCCGCAGGACTCGCAAAACTCTTCAGTGAGTTTGTGTCGGCTCAGTTAAAATAATTTTGAAGCAAGCCCAAATGATTGTGACTTAAACTGTCACTGAATATATCAAATGAACAGGATGATAACACGGAAGGTTTGGTGATGAACATGTCCTAAAGGTTTTCTGAAGCAAACTGTCACAAAAAAGCCATCTACTTGCACAAAGCACGAGGCACTTCTCACAGTAGAACAGATGTTACTTTGCTGTGTGCCCTGACAGCATTTTGCTACTAACTGTTGAAAATTTCAGCAGTTGATATTTAAGAACTGTAGGTCAGGTGTGAAGGAATTGCTGTTGTCCTTGGGATTTGGAAACCTAATTTTGCAGATTTTTTTATACATATATTTTCTGTCTATTCTGCATAGGTATTCAACACATTTTTTGCATCATATTTTCAAAAAGTAATGCTTAAGTACGTGACAATATTATGCTCTAAAGAGCTTGCGTTTTAATTTATTAATTGAAGAATATAAGGGATGAGACATAATTTTGAAGTTGGTTTGCTCTTTTTTTTTAATTTTAGGAAAGTGAAGTAAAATAACTGTGGCATTTATTCCCAGAGATCAGTTTTGCCCTTTCATAAAAGTAAGAGTTTCACCTTCTATTTAGAAATTGGATTTAAAATTCACCTTACTTGAGAAGGTAGTTTGAGTGGCTACTGAAATACACACAAAAATGCACAGTTAAAAACTGATTAGTATATATAAAATGATAAGATAATAAAATAATTTAAAAGTTTTTTTTAAAAAAATGTGAATGTCATAGAATCACTTCTGGTTTTTTTTACTGTAACTTTTGACCATTGGTTCAATATAATATCTGGTTACTGGCTTACTGCAGGTTTCCTAAGCTGAATAAAAGCCCCATTGCCTTTCATCAAAGATTATTTGTTTTTAGCTGTTTGTTGAGTTTTGTATATAAAATCATGTAGAGATGGCTGAAACAGATGCTATACCTTTGATTAGGAATCTATTTTTTTCCAGTTCCTATTAATCAGGGTGGTAGTAACTTTCTCAATATTGTGGAGATTGGGAAGAATACCATTCTCCTAAAGATTGGGGTGAGTAACTTGTACTTCTCCAGATGTTACTGAATAACAACTTACAACATACTGGGTGAGGCTACTGGGATTTGTCCTTCAGCAAGATTTGAAAAAACTCTGCATCCTTGTTTTATATTTTCAGCTTGTTGACAAATGAAATGAAGAATTGATCCCTTTAATGTAGAGTTTTCTACTTTAATGTATACTTAACAAAAGCAGATGCCAAACTCCACAGTTCAGGAGTCGGCTTTATTCTGGGCTCCATCTTTAGGACTGGTATGCTTGCTCTTTTTTGAACTAATATTATTACTCTTATTTACCAAGCTTTGATAGAATAAGTCGATTGGAAAAATTTCTTCTAGAAGTCTCATGCTAACCATTTCTTAGGTACGTAAGCGCATCACAGCTAGGAAAGACAGTGTACTACGTTGTTAAGATATTTGTCTATCCTTGGAATATCCTTTCTGGGCTTCCTTACTAAAGGGGGTAGATTTTGGGTCACAGTTACTTGCATGACCTCTGCTTTAACAAGGACCCCATGGGCTTAATGGGTTAATGTCATATCCCTTATGCCCGCCTGCTTACCTACCTGCCTATTTATTTCCTTACTTACTGAACTTACATGGTCCCATATAATGACTCTAGGTGGCTCGTAACAATCCCTAAAAATATGGTTAAAAACAAAGGAATCCTTCCCTTCAGGTTCCAGATCAAGCATCCTTGCAGCTCATCCCCCGTCCTAGCCATCCTTGGGAGAAGAGCCAGGTCTTCATGACCCTCTGAAAGGCTAAAAGGGTAGGGATCCCTCAGATCTCAGGTGGAAGGTTGTTCCAAAGGACTGGATTGGTCTCCGGGAAAGCAGGCCTCTGAGGTCCCATCAGGTAGCAACCTGAAGCACACTCCCCCAATCTGACTTAGTAGGACAGGCAGGAGAGACGATCCCTGGGATACAGTCCTGAGCACCAGTTTGTGCATGGAAGTCTTTCATTTTGTCAGCGGCCGTTCCCAAATTAGAGGACCCATTCTCTCCTGTAGTGCAAAGCATAACTAAAGTTATGGGGAGTACATTCAGTTTTAATGAGCTCTTTTTTATACCTTCCCATTAAAAACATATCATAGCTGCCGTTTCAATACACACTTGGTAATATAATGAGGTGACAGTAATCTTTGTGCGCTTTGGCATTTTGTCAACTGAAGTGTATGATTTTTTTTAAACTACTTTCTGCATCCAATTTGTATCTTGTATATTTTTGATGGCAACATCTGCCTTTATGTCATCTAAGAAGAAACAGTTGCAAAAAAAGATCTGTTAAGAGAAGAGTTCATGCTTGCTATTGTAAATGAGTCAAATCAAGGTGTAATAGTTTCTTCAAAACATTTGCCATATGGGGCAAATTATGTCACTTCAAATAGTTGACATGGTCATATTAGACTTCAGAAGGTATCCCAGAATGTCATCGTTGTTACCTAATCTAGAGCACATTGTCAAACCCTGTTAAGATGAACATATCCAATAGCGCCATGGCTGAAAACAGCACTGTGTCTCCATTGTGTACAAAAATACTATGGGAAGAGCATGGACAGTGCCCTGTGGTACATGAGATTATATCTTCAGGCAACTGCTTCACTTCAAGCTTGCTAGATAAGGATTTTGGGTCTCTATGTGCATTGTGGATGGACACCCTTAAGCAAAACAAAGGAAAACTTATCATGGAAAACATTATGCTTTTTATGATATACACTTTAAGAAAACATATCCCTAAATCCTGTAATCTCTGATAATAGGTGTTGATATGAATCCTTATTAATAATAATTAGCTAATTTATTAGTTTTAACATTTTCATTATTTTCCCACTCGTCTTTTATCAGCTGCTTTATAGGAGAGATGACAGCATAGAGCAGTGATGGCAAACCTTTTAGAGACCGAGTACCCAAACTGCAACCCAAAACCCACTTATGCATCGTTGGTGCCGGGTGGGTGTGCCCCATTGGGTGGGCGTGGCCCATTGGGTAGGCATGGCTGCGGTGGTAACAGCAGACTGGGTGGGACTAAAAAGTTCAATCAATCAATTCCAACTTTGCAAGATCTTTTTTTCCCCGCAAAAAGTTGAAATTGATTGATTGATTGAACCTTTTTTTTTGTACACGGCGGCGGAGGCCTAAAGCAAAAAGGTTTTATAAAACCCAGCTGAAGGCCTAGAACTCGGGCGACGGTGCACGTGCCCACAGAGAGGGCTCTGAGTGCCGCCTCTGGCACCCGTGCCATAGGTTCGCCACCACTGGCATAGAGTTTTATAAATTAATTAATATGATCAGTATGATTTATCCAGATACTGTTACTGTCTCTTAATACCTACTGGGAGTAGCAACTAGTGGTCAGCTTGTACACAACATTGACAGCTCAGTGTCAATCTAATACGTGAATATACGGTAGTGTCTTCATTGCCTATCAGAAAAATGGATATAAGAACAACAAGAGAATCTTATATTAATATACCAAATGTTTGTTATATGGTTAACTGGATGCTTTGGGGAAGTTTTCAAACAGATCCTGAGCATTACAGAATTTTTACTGTCACTCAGCAATAGGTGCCTCTGCGATCATGATTAACTATCTGCCTTAGTTACCTAGATTTTGTCTGTCCTAGTTCACCACCACTTAGTTTTATTGGAATACCCAGATTTGGGCTTTGTGAAAAAGGCTCAGCTCCTCATGCATAGCTTTATATATCTCGATGAAAGTTTTCGATTTGCCTTTTTGAAGATAAGAATGACAAAATGTGAACCATTTCTAAATGCCGCCAAATTTTTTTTCTTCAGGAGTGTGGACGGTCTTCCAAATATGGCCACTCCTGCATGGCTTTGTGTACAAAAAAAATTACTTCTTTCTCTTTTTTATTTTTTGAGAAACCCTTGTTTTACTGATGTCCAACATGGAATTTCTTTTTTTAAGAGTAATGGGCACGTACAGCCTTTTTTTTTTTTACTGAGCTATTTACCACTAACCTCAAGACTCCTTTCTTGATTAGCTATTGTCAATTCAGATCCCAACAGCGTGCATAAGAGATTAAGATTCCTGCCCTGTTGTTATGTGCTTGCTTGACATTCTTCCTAGAATGTTTCTTAGAGCAGTTCCTTTTGTCCTTATGATATATATATACAAAATAATTTAGTTTGCCAGCCACCTAGCTAAATTTTCTGCTAACTATTGGTGCCTCAGAACTCATTTATAAACAAGTGGTGTAGATCTATTACAGTGTTTGTACTCTATCATGAGAATAGGATTCTGATCTTCAACTAGTTATTAAAAATATAAGAGCGCCTCACCTTTTATCTCATTCTGCTAAATTTGTTTCCAGAGAGATGTCATCAAAGCTGCTTAAAAATCTAAACAAACCCCTGTCCACATTCTTGTTAATACTCAAGAACGCTTAAAAAGAAGCCTTATCTTTAAAGGAATATTGCTGGTTCTTCAGCAAGGCTTGTCATCCTATATGTGCTTATCAATTAATCTTTAATAACATTTTCCACCAATTTGGGTGGAAGAGCTGCTAAATCAACTAGACTATAATATCCTGAATTCCCCTGGATTCCTTTTTTTTTCCCAGTTGGCCTGTACATTATCCATTTTCCAATCTTCCGATACATAAGTTGACCTTTAGGGCATGGTACAATTAAGAGATGGTTAAGATCAGTTTGTTTTTCATACAGTGTTGTCCTTTGAAGATTTGTTTTTTGTTAAAAGATAAATGTGACATGGTTGGCTCATGTCAGGAAAATTTAACGTACAAATATATGAAAACCTCCAATAGATTTTGCAGTAGATCTTGATCATCATTCAGAATTAAGAACAAAGTCATCTCTCTTCTGATTGGTTCCGTGATAAATGTTACTAGGTATGTTATTCCACTTCTGCTTTTCATTATGACTAAAATAACTACTACTTAATTCTATGTATGGATAATTAAAACCACTCATTTGGAGGTCTCTCTAATTTCATTCTCAAACTTAAGATCACCTGTGAATTTTGACTGGGGACAGGTACATATCCTCAGTTCCTGTGGGTAGACTTGTTGATGTGAAGCATCAGAACTGTGTACCTATTCATATGAGTTCAGGTATGCCCTAAGGTTTCTCACTACCTCTCTGCTCATTTTGTCATGCACAATTATTTCACGTGCCAACCATTTTAAAGAAATATAAGGGCGATTCATACATTTCCCCCCAACTTCTGATTGATGCCTTTGCTTTTCCCAG